CCGGAATGGAATAACTCGTCACAGCCAACTCACTGCAGCCAACTTGTTGTGGCCAACCTTTCCAGCCTGAGCAGAGGGTTGGACTAGATGACCTCCAAGGCCCCTTCCAACTTTATTATCATTATTATTATTATAACTCACCATGGCCAACTTCCCACGGGAAAACTCAGCACAGTAACTGACCGCGGGACAACTGAACAATTCAATTTAATTATTTAAAATAATTTTTTTTAAAAAAATATTTTAATTTTTGTCATTCACATTTCATTCTGCCCCTCCTTTGGCGTCCTTTCTTTCATGATTCTGTTCCACCATTTCTTTGATATTACCGTAAATCTTGTCCCGTGGCAAATTATCCCACAGCAAGTTGGCCGTGGCTAGTTGTCCTGTGGTGTGTTGGCCACAGCAAGTTGGCTGTAGCAAATTGACTGTGGCAAGGTGACCGTAGCGGATTGTCATCGACCCCATTCACACAACACTTAGAAACAGGCACTCCCTTGAGGCAAATTGTTTAAGAACACTTCAAGTGGTTTTCAGGAATAGTGAACACCACCACACCCTAAACAGGAGGAACATTTCTTTTCATGTCCTTGTCGAGGGAGAATCTTTAAGCAGACAGAATTACTTAAAATTCATCTTGATGAGAGCTGTATGCTCAATGGCACAGGTGAGGATGATCTGCAGCTAAGAGATACAGTAAAATTGTGGAAACCTTTTGGGAAAAAGTGGATTTTTGAGGTTTGATGACTAATAACACCACTTTTTTGGGGGGAGTAGTACCATAAAATTATATATCAATGGAAAGATAATTTAATCAAGAATGTAATGCAACCAGGTTTGTTCAATTATCTGTACTGTATTCTATGAAAAGTTATAGCCAAATAAGCAGAAAAAGCAAGCACAACTTGCTTAGGTTGATATCAGGTACCTTTCCTTCATCTGATTGTAGCCAATGAGCGTGGGTGTTTAGAGAGCCAATCAGGTGTCATCTTGTTTTGGCAATGAGCCAATCAGATCACAGTAGGACTCACTAATTGATGTCCTGTATTGAAGCTGAGAGGAGGACATTGGTCAGTGTGTCATGTGATCGCTATCAAGTTGATTGGGGGTTTTTTTGTGTTCTTTCATTTAGTGAGCTTGTAAAACGTAATAAAATTAAAGTCATGGTGCAAAGAGTTGACTGGTCGCCCAGAAAGCGATGTAAAATAGTAGTATTAAGTGAACAAGGCTACATTTATAAAGAAATTAGAAGAAAAATGGGTGGAAGCTTAACCAAAGATGGCATTTCTACTGTACTTTTCTACTTTTCCCAAAAGGTTTCCACAATTTTGGCCACTACTGTACACCCCAGTGCTTGCTGCTTTTTCTTGGAATCTGCCTTGTTTCCATCTGCTTTTCTCACTTGAAGTGGCCAGTAACTAGGGGAGGAAAATTGCAGAAAGGAAATGGGGGTGGATGGGGGTTGAGTGCTCGCCTCCCTGCTCACAGAACGGGACAACTCACCACAGCCAACTTGCCATGGTCATCTTACCATGGCCAACTTGCTGTGGGCATTTTGCCAGGGCCATCTTGCCAGGGCCAACTCAGTGAAGACATCTCACGGAGGACATCTTGCCATGGGACAACTCATCATGGGAAAATTTACCATGGCCAACTCACCTTGGGCCAACTCAACACGATAAATGTTATCTGCCAGTGTTTCTTCGATCTTATTTCCATTGACAAAAATGGAAATAACATCGAAGAAACAGTGGTGGATAATATTTATCATGTTATCCCGCATGGATTGTCCTGGTGGTAAGTTCTCCCACAGCAAGTTGGCCAAGGCGAGTGTCCCACAGTGAGATTGTGGGACAGGTTGGCCATGACAAGATGGCCACCGTGAGTTGTCCTAGATCCCCTTGCTTATCCTCCTGACAGGGAAACAGAAACAACCAGTCTTTTCAGATCCTGTCTCTGCCAAACATTGACTACATAGTTTTGCTCTCAGCAAGTCAAACTCTCAACATGGACACACACTCTTCGTCAAAAGGCACTCTTCTATTCTGATGGTCCTGCTCCAGTAGTAGCTTTACTCAAGATCAGAACTGTAAGCATCCCAGTTAGTAATGTGACCAACCATAGACAAAGGAAAAGGAAAGCAAATCTCTGCACATCACCAATGATAGCTAGCAGTAACTGGAACAGAAACTAACAAGGATAGCAGCACAATACAAATTCAACTAGCAAGAAGAAGAAATGCAGGGTGTTACGTCTACCATCATTGGGAAATAGCTTGTGCTTATTGTGTCTGTTTCAATGCTTCTCAACCTGGTCAACTTTAAGATGTGTGGACTTCAACTCCCAGAGTTCTATAGTCAGCATGGCTGGCTGGGGAATACTGGGAATTGAAGTCTACACATCTTCCCCAGGTTGAGAAGTAGAAGTCTGTTCTTAGACCATCTTTACCCTATCCAGGTGGCCTTGAATTGTCGGAACTCCAATTCTGAGAATTCCTGTTGGCTGAGAAACCTTGGATGTGGAACCTCAGCACACCTGGAAGAACCACCCTGGAGAAAACTGTCCTAAACAGAACTCGGTCCAGCATCATCAGCTTCAACTGATCTTCAATAAAAGGATAACGTTTTAAGGTATGACATCTTTCTGGAAGGCCTTTGCTGATTAATGCAGCATGAAGTCATACAATACAAAAAGTTTTGCTTTGCACTAAGGTGCTTGTGGGAAATGTTACCGCAACATGGAATATTATAACTAAGAGTATTGGATCATAATGTGAAGAATCCATATTAACAGATTTTAAGATCCAGTTAAAATGTTCTGGAAAGAATATTTGACATGATGCTGTTGAACGCGTCTCCTTATTTCAGCACACGGTGGAGCATGATGAGAGTGAACGAATACCCTTGGGTATTAAAATGCTTTTGCGTATGCATAAGGGAGTAGGCTACAACAGGCCTTCTCTTTGAGGTCACAGTCAGACAACTGTGTGGAATGCGTGCAAATCACCTCCTCACTACCATTACCTGCATCTTGAATTGGTAAGGTCTTGTCACATCCTTTCTCCTAAAAATTTTAGGTGTCTATGAGGTCACAGGAAAACAAAAGTTGGGCATAGTCTTGATCAATCACTAAGTAGAGGTAGGTTCAAGGTTCAAGAAGCAGAGTTAGAATTTCCCTAAATCATGCCCTTCTCTCTTTATGAGGGAGGGGGTGAACTTTATTAGTCCCTGTGGGTGTCCTAGCTAAAAGAAAGCCTTGACTCTCTTGCCAGAATCATCAAACTGCTGTCTCGTGAAGCTACAATAAGATTAACTCAAGAAATATTTGGTCCAAGAAACATGAGTGTGCCGAACACTGTTGTATGGAACTTCTTTGGCAAGGGATGTCTTAAAGCCCAGATGCCTTCAAGCTCAGACTCAAAAGGTATTGAGCCAAGACCTCCAAACTGTATTTAGTAGATGAGCGTATTCAGAAAAGGCAAAATTTAAAATTAACTAAAGGAATATGTTTCAGTGTGGTTTGCTTCCTCCAGACTAGTGGTTCTCAACCTGTGATCTGTGGATCCTTGGGGGGTGGGGGAGTGAGGTGCAATGTTGTCACAGGGGGTCCACGAAGGTTTGAAAAAATGTTATGATTTAAATCTTGAGTTAAGCCTTGGGGGTTCGTGGCCACGGTTTGTGGCCACAAAAGGTACTTCAAGGGGGTCCGTGGTGAAGAAAAGGTTGAGAACCATTGCTCCAGACCATTATTTTATAACTTGATCTAGTTTTGTGGATCTTGGGGGAGTCTAGTGGAAATAAAAGGAAAAAGAAAAGGAAGATCAAAGTAGGTCTGGTAAGTCTAGGGTCAGCCCACACTTGATTTAGATGCCTTCCAATATCTCAAGATACTTCAGTAGCATCTTGTTTAATCTATTTTGATACAGTAGATTATTAAAGCTTATTTAGAGAATCAGAAATCTTTTCTAATGCATCTGATCACTCTGGTATCACGATATCAAGATCGCGTGAAAGGAAGGGTGAGATTTTAAATCCATTGTCTCCAAGGAAAGCTGAGACAATGGTAGGATTGTAGAAGCCACACACAAAAAAGATTCCTTTCTAAAGGATTTCAAGCATGGTGGATTGGGCCACAATCAAGTATCTGGCAACTGCCTTGTTGAAAATGTTGTAGATGGCTCTGCCATCAACCAACAGAACCCTTATTCTGCATTCAAACAATCTGCTTTACAGAACTTCCCATAGTTTGGCAGTGGTAGAAGTCACTTATTAGTGAGAGGGGAAAAAATTCCTCTAGACATCAGACCCAATTTGGGAATTATCCTCTGTGAGACGTGATTCTAGTCAGTGATCCAAAGCTGGGATTCTTCAAAGTCCTATGAATTAGGATAATAGTTCTAAAGATGAAAAAAATCAAAATAGGTCCTGCACATATCCACCTGTCTTATGAAAAAATAAATCTCTAATTTTCTAAGGTGGCAGATGAGAAGGAGATAGCGAAAGGTTTACTCTTAGTCATTTGGCAGACAGTCACCTAACAATCTGGTTAAAAAGTGACATAAGGCCAAGAGTATTTGGCTGGCGATGAAGAGCAGTTGAAGAACGTCTAAACACAGTTGTCCACTGTACCAAGTCTATAAGGGACACCAAGGGATCTGTTGGGAAAGTCTCTATTGCTGACATCTAGCAACTCCACCAGAAGACAGATTTCTACTCTAGACCAAAATCACAGAAGAAAAAAATGTGCTCACTAGGTAGGACTATCTTCTCTGGCCTGGCAAAATCTGCTTGACCACAACGTAGCAGCAAAGAGATCCAGAAAGAAAGCTGGTTCCTGCTATTTCGTGATCAACTTGACATTTGCAGCCTGGAAACGATAGCCCTAAGTTTCATTTCCTGGCACGTGGACTCAACTCCCCAGCTCAGGAATAAAGTGATAATACACAGACTACTCTACACAGAGCTACAGTTAAAACTGGTCATCGTTCAGGTGGCATTTCAAACACTTTGTCGTGCTTTTCCAGAAGGCTGAAATGTTCTCGTCCTTCACATTCATGACACCAGGATCGTCCAGTCGCTGTCTTCTCTCCCATACTGAAACACAAAGAAAGTGTGTTAGGAGAAACGCCATTGGGAACCAGGTTCAAGTCTTTATTCAACCAAGAAACTCATGAGGTACCTCTTCCTTGAAAACTATGGAGTAAGCCTGAACAGAAAAACTGTTTTCGAATTTTTGAAAACTCTGCATATGGTTGGCTGTTAAAAGTGCTGATTAAGGGGTTGAGAAAGTGATGTTCAGAAGAAGTACATTCCCAAAGCCCTAAAATTGCAGTTGGCTGCTGTGGGAAGTCAGCCCCCCAGAGAAGGAAATATTAAAAGGCCAGAAAAATATATTTCCTCAAAGGATCTTAAAGAGGCAGAAAAGCATGCCCAGTTTTCTTAATAGCCCCAAGTCTCCCTCCCCCAAGCAGAAACCAGCTCTGTAGAAATGCAGATGTAAACCATTCAGGAAGGTTGAAGCTAGAAGATTAAGAAGACAAAGACACCTAAAATCTACATACCCCACCCAAACTCTAAGACAGGACACAATAGGATTAACCCACAGATGCAGGGGTGTCAAACTCAATTTCACTGAGGGCCGCATCAGCATTGCGGTTGCCCTCGGGAGGGCCGGGTGGGTGTGGCCAGGGTGGGTGCGGCCTACTGGGTGGGCGTGGGTGGAGTGGGTGTGGCCTGCTGGGTGGGCGTGGCCAGCTCTACATCGCTCGTGTCAAGGGGGCCTGTGGGGGCCTGGGCAGGAGTGGGACAGATCTGAGGGTCTCTGGCAGAAGGGGGTGGGACCGGGGCAAGCACCAAGGCATGGTCCATTTCTTCATTCCTCACAAAGGGTGACACCTCCCCAGCATGAACCCAGGGGGTGGGGCCGACGCGGCAGGGGCTGGTTCCTCGCTGTTTCCAGAGGGCCTTGTGGAGCTAAGACTGGATGCATTTCAGCATAGATGGCCGCCACAAAATTGTACATTGGCTCCCGGCCGGCCTGGGCTAGGGCCAAGGCAGCGGGGGCCATTCCCTCATTGTTTCCAGGATGGCTTCGCAGGCCACATGAAACCACTTCGCGGGCCGCATCCGGCCCCCGGGCCTTGTGTTTGACATGTCTGCCTTAAGGGGACAGTTCTCAATTCCTAGGATAGCTACTTACTCTGACCAGCACAAGCTACATTGGCTGCTGATTTACTTCTAGCTTCAACTCAAAGTGCCAATTGTTACCTTCAAACCTCTACATGGCTTGGGACCAGGTTATCTGAAGGACGATCTTTTCCTGGTCATATCTACCTGACCCACCAGAGGCAGAGAATGCTATATATAAATCCCCTCTCTTAATAGGTAGGTTCCCTCTCTTAAGGAAGTTCATCTAGTAGGACCAAGAAGAAGGGCCTTCTCTGTGGTGGCTCATCCCTGCGGAGATAAGATTGGCTCCCACTTTGACACTCTTTCGCAGGCCCTGAAGACCTGGTTTTGGCAACAGGCCTGGGGAGACTGAAGTGATATGGAGCCCATCAAATGGCTCATTGGATTGTTATTGCCAGGGAGATGGGGTCGGTACTGCTTTTTAAATTATTTTTACGGTATATTGAGTTTTTATTCTTGTAAGTTTCCCAGAGTCACTGAGAGTGAGTTGGGCGACCATATAAATTTTCATAAACAAACACACTCTACAGCCCTGTGCCTCTGAGCTGTTTCTATCACTGCTGTTTGGTTTGCTTCATTCCACCATCTTCTTTGTTTGCTAAGCAACAAATCTGAATTTTCTCTTTACTCAGCATTCTATTTAAACAAGATCCAGTCCTTCAAAGAGGAAATGTAAACCAGTGTAAGCATTCTGGAGGGAATCTGGGCTAGCCCTCAGCTGATCAGAAGACTTCAGAAAATTTGCATGGCGATCTAAAAGATCAATACCAGTCACAGCATGGACAACTACAGAGCTGGGAAATTGGCTTCCTATCATGCCTGTTTTGGATACTATAGGTTTCCAGATGTAAATAATACAGGGCAATCATCAGCACCAGAGTTGGAAGGGACCTTGGAGGTCTTCTAGTCCAACCCCCTGCTCAAGCAGGAGACCTTAGACCAGACATGTCAAACTCGCGATGTCACATGACATTGCGCAACGTATCGGGACGGTTTTGCTGGCAATGGGGTAGGCGTGGCTTCCGGATGATGCGTCCAGCCCACGGGCCGGCATTTGACACCCCTGCCTTAGACCATTTTAGACAAATGGATGTCCAGTCTCTTCTTAAAAGCCTCCAGTGATGGAGTGCCCACGATTTCTGGAGGCAAACTATTCCACTGGTTTATTGTTCTCACTGTCAGGAAATTTCTCCTTAGTTCTAGGCTGGATCTCTCCATGATTAGCTTCCATCCGTTGCTTCTTGTCTTGCCTTCTGATTCTTTTGAGAAATAAGCTGACCCTCTCTTCTTTGTGGCAGCCCCTTAGATATTGGAACACTGTTGTCATGTTGATTCAGTACAGAGACTGGTGGAATTATGTGTGTATACTGCATTTCTGTCAGGATGTCAGGCAATAATTGAGCTATTCAACCATTCATACATTTGTCTATTTCTCATAGAAAACATGTGAGATCCTTACATGGATATCACTTAGCTGGTTCCAGAAACGGGTTGCTATCTGAGGTCCATTCTCCATGGTCGGAATGTGGAAATTCTAGAAGAAAAGAAAAACCTAGTTAAAATATAAAGGTGTTCAGAAGATTGATTTCTGATGGAATTACAAAAGGCTTAGGAACAGAAAGACAAACCAATAAATGAAAGCCCAGCAGTGAAAGGCTTTCTCCCCCCCCCCCCCGTTTGAGATATAATTTTGTTTCTTTTGTTCAATCTTAATTCAGTACAAAACAAATTCTGCAGAAGCCAAGCAAGGCTGACAAGAGATCGTTATTTAACTATCACACAAACATAAAATTCATTCCCAAGAACATAAACTGCCAAAGACATTTCATTTGACAGATACAAATTACATCACAGCACCTGCAAGGAGAACAAGGAGAGAAATGGTATCAGGTATGACATTATGGTGTCTTTCCTCCCGAGAACGCCTATAATTTCAGCAAGATATTTATGTCAGCAGCAAGGTGCATGGTCTTAGTTACAGCTGTTGGAACAACTGAAGAACCAGGTTAGAGAGAGATTGTTACGGAGAAAATCTACCTAAGTGGTCGCTAAGAGTGCCTCTTCTTTGTGGCAACTCCTGAGAGTTCCAATATCTCAGGGGCTACCACAAAGAAGAGGGAGTCAAGCTGTTCTCCAAAGCACCTGAGGGCAGGACAAGAAGCAACGGATGGAAGCTAATCAAGGAGAGAAGCAACCTAGAACTAAGGAGAAATTTCCTGACAATGAGAACAATTAATCAGTGGAACAATCTGCCTCCAGAAGTTGTGAATGCTCCAACACTGGAAGTTTTTAAGAAGAGACTGGACAGCCATTTGTCTGAAATGGTATGGGGTTTCCTGCCTGAGCAGGGGGTTGGACTAGAAGATCTGCAATGTTCCTCCCAACTCTGTTATTCTATGATTCTATGAGTCAACAATAATTTAATGGCATACAATCAGCTAAATATCAAACAGGCAGTGGTTAGAATTGCAATAACAACTCTGAATCTCCAGGACACCGGCTCTTACCTCTCCCAGGTACAGTACTGTTGAAACAGGACATACAACGCAAGCTGTTCCCGCCCCAAACATCTCCTTCACTCTTTTTTCCTTCAAGGCAGTTGTGAGATCACTCATAGTAATGTATCTCTCTGATACTTTAAATTCACCCTGAGCAAAAAAAAATAAAACAAATAAGCAAGCAGTTCTAGAAGTCATGTTTGCCAAGAGCTAAGACTCTTGCAATGTTTAAAATCAGGAAAAATCCCATCTCACATAGAAGGATCAAAACTATCCGAGCGGATAGCTACCCACCCACTTGCGTGCCAGATCTAAGATGCTTTGCCTCGTCACACCAGGAAGGATGATGCCGTCCAGGGGTGGGGTTGCTAGCTCATTTTCTGTCAATACAAAGCAGGACACTTCAGCATAAAAATACAGGATTATACAGTCATATAAAAAATAACAGTTATAGCAGCCATAAGAAGAGATCTTTTGAAAAAAATATCCTAAGAAATTGTTCTGCTATTGTCCTGTTTCAGTATTTAATGTTCTGAAGAATTTTCCTTCTTACTTCTTCGAAGTAAGAAGAATGAGAAAAAAAAACATTCTCATCTTTTAAAAGACATAATATTAGGATAGGCATAAAATGCTAGATTAAAATGAAGTTGGGCAGTTTGTGGTTCAATGTATTTTAAGAATCCAGCCATCATATTAATGTGCCATCCTATGGCTTATTTAGGAGGACATACCCTCATCCGTTTTGCTGACCAATGCCTGCAAGACCAACCATCCAGGAGATAACAATTGGACGGTCTTCAGGGGTAGCCCCATGTTCAATGCACTGCAGTAGTCCAGTGGTGTTTTCACCAGGATGTGAGTGATCATCCGAAGGGTCTCCTGGTTGAGGAAAGCATGCAACTCTGCTACATCAACCAAGGGCTTGTGTGCACACGATCTCCAGGACTACCCCATCTCAAATTTTAGACACATGCCTTTCATTATTCATTCTTTCTGAATGTAAAACTTTTAATTTTCTCCCTTTGGAAGTTCATCCTCTTCCTTTTGGCCCATGTTCAAGTCTTCTCGATCTTCTTGAATCTTCTCTTTCCCTTCTCAAGTGTTAGTCAGTCCTAGTTTCACCTATTCTGCAAATGTCGTAATCCCACCTTCACCCAAATTATTAGGAAAAAAGATGAACAGCCCAAAGCCCATGTCAAAGTTCCCTCCAATTTGATGTAGAATCATTTAGGAGTATTCTCTGAATGTAGTTATACAGCCAATTATGACTCTGTATTTCATAATTATATGACATTCATTAAGTAGACTTAACAATGCATTTAATCATTTTCTCCAATTATAATTATTTTTTTTAGCAATGGTGAGGGCCTCTGGAACCACACCCAAGACTTTTTGAGAAGTTCTCGGATCTGAGATTCCAGGTTCCCCACCTCTAACACCTTTGCAAGGTGGAACCACGTGCAGGATGGAGACCCCACAAAAGAGCCATTTATTTCCAATATAGTAGATAAGGTTAAGAGGCAGGAAGCTTCAGGTAGCAGTTCAATCAAGTCAGACCCCATACCTCCATTTTCATTTCGCCAGTATAGGAAAAGATTCATCGTCCCGACTTCTGTGATTTGATGGTCATCCCCATAAAGCCAGAGAACCTGCTGGCACCCCAATTCCATGGCTTCACGTTGGGCATAAATTGAAGAGCCATAATTCCTTTGGGGCACAGAACAAAAGGGTCACTGATCTGCTTGAGAATATACCTACAAGCTTGTGAGCAAATGGGCAGATGGATTTTCTTCAGAAACTTTTTTTGAAGAAAATCCAGGTACATAATCATTAGAGGTTTGGGTTACGGACACCACATACAGTACAAAGTAGCACACTGAGCTTTATGGGACTGCTCATATTTATTTTACTGGGCCCTTCCAGATACTTCTATGTGCAAATAGGTGGTCAAGATACGTATCACCTTATGCGATCTCAGAATCTAAATTGGGACAAGCCTGCTTAGCATTGGCTGGGACGTCATCAGACAAGGCTACACTATACACCAGGCTGAAAAGCCAGAAAATCCAGAATAAGGAGAAATTTCCTGACAGTGAGAGCGATTAATCAGTGGAACAACTTGCCTCCAGAAGTTATGGGTTCTCCAACACTGGAGGTTTTTAACAAGAGATTGGACAACCATTTGCCTGAAATGGTATAGGGTAGGGGTAGGCATCCTTGACTCTTTTATGACTCGTGGACTTCAACTCCCAGAATTCCTGAGCCAGCCATGCTGGCTCAGGAATTCTGGGAGTTGAAGTCCACGAGTCATAAAAGAGCCAAGATTGCCTTCCCCTGGTATGGGGTCTCCTGCTTGAGCAGGGGGTTGGAGTAGAAGACTTTGAAGGTCCCTTCCAACTCTATCATTCAGTGAAAAACATTCCAGAAGGCTGTTAATATAATAACACCGCATGGATTTAGCTTAGCAACCTCAGAAGATCCACCAGGTTGAACTACCTGAAGATGAGATCAATCACATTGTGTTAAATCAGTTGAACTGCATCTGAGACACCAAGATCTCAAACTGAATTCTTCCTATGACTCCACTGACTACAGTACTTTATCTTGGCCTATCGCTTTGGAGGAGCATATCTCCAGCACTTCATGTCAAGGCCTGCTTGGTTCAAAAAGGTTGATGCATTCTCAAAGGCATTCTCAATGTACTTTCCCATGCTGGCTCAGGAATTCTGGGAGTTGAAGTTTACAGGTTGTAAAGTCGCCGTAGTTGCCCACCCCTGTCTTAATGAGCATGGCCGCAACGATATTCACTTACCCTCCCAATTTGCAGTCCCCAGTCCCACCTTTCCAAGCTCGGACATATTTTGGATCTGCCCACAAGGAGATAGGGTTGAAGCTGCCACTTGAGAAGTAGGGCCCCACAGGGCTCAGTATCACATAGAGAATGGCCCTTGATGGCTTCTTGACTCCAAGAGAAGGCTACGCAGAAGAAAGGAAGACAAATACATTGCACTTATGGGTTCTCATCCAGTTCTTATGTCAATACTAGCTGTATCCGGCCACGCGTTGCTGTGGCTCGGTCTGGACACAGCTCAATTCCAACGCAATGTCACACGAAATAATTAAATCAAAATGAAAATAAATCGAAATCCATGAAAATTCAATTTAACAATGCAATCGGAAACATTGAAATGGAATCGTAAAATTGGAAATTTGGAAATCGTAAATGGATCATAAATCGGAAACATTGAAATGGAATCGTAAAATCGTAGCGTGTGTTGCTTTTACGTCCAACAGATGGCGCTGTTTTTTTAAAAAAGCATGTTTTTACCTATCACAGGTGTGACATCTATATAATATTGGTATATAAAAACACACGCGTATTCGAATGCAACGTTGTGTCAAAATTTCAAAGCAATCGGTGAAGAACTTTCAGAGATTTAAGATTTTGAACAAATGAACATTTACATTTTTATTTATATAGATTCAATAAAGCTGAAATGAAATAAAATATAAAGAAAAATGTCCTAACATTTCCCATCATCAACAGAACCAATAGGTTAAGGAAGTAAAAAACATCCTTTGTAGCATGTTTCGGAGCAGAAGCTAAACACCAAAGTACTGGGCAAATTTCAGAGCAAAACGTGGATTTAGTGGCCCAAATATCTCCTTCCAACTTTATGGGTCTATAAATCTGTGATTTTGCAACCATAGGCATTGAGGTATGAGATGGATCTGTCCAATGGCAGTACCAGAAAATATAGGCAGATCTTGCTTAAGGCTTGCCTTGTTTAGCGACTGTTTAAAGTTCCGACAGAACTTTAAAGTAACTTTATGGCTACTCCTCACATTTGCAACTATCGCAGCAGCCCATGGTTGCGTGATTGCCATATGTGCACTTCATAATTGGCTTCCAACCAGCAAAGTCAATAGAGAAGCCAGCAGTGAAATGGCAAGTTGTGGTCATGTGATATCTCGCTTAATGGACATGGGTGATTTGTTTAATGATAGAAGGAAAACAAATATAGAGATAATTATAAGAATTGAGCTTTGTTAATAGAAAATTAGATGGTGACAGATCAGATGTGCACAAAGGGGCTTCCTGGAACATGGGATGGACAGTGGTTTTAGGCGGTCCGGATAGTTTATTGGATGATTAGGGAAGGGGCGTTGAGTGCGACAGGGGAAGGGGAGAATCTGCTTCGGGGGTAGGATATAAAAATGTGTCAATCAGCTCTTTAAGGTGTGGCTGGACTCCTACGTGTGTTTCGGATCACCAAGCTTTTGCAAATGCTTCTTTTTAAATAAAACTTTGTTGCTGGAATTCTAACTGAGTTTGTTTGTTTGGGGATCTTGAGCCACGTTCCAAACAAGGATTTGCTCAAAATGTCCCGCATAGACTTGTTAGTAAAACCAATGTCAGTGCTCAAATAACAGGCTACAACATATAGAAATGTCTTCTTACGATTTTGATAAACTAGCTCAGTTCACTCAACCTCTAAATCAAGGACTGGGTTATTTACAGAAGGTTGAATAATAAATGATTCAGTCCCATTTTAGCCCCTTCAATATGCAATGTAAGTACCCAGATGTTAAATGCTGGTTGGGACAAGGGAATGTTACCAAGACTTGTATGTCTTAAGGTGCAATGAAATGGTTGTTCTACCCAGAAGGGCATCTAGCAAACATTTGGCCCTCATAGCTTAATCCACTGACTGCCTCACGGTAGACATAGCCTGTTACACTTAGGAGAAAAAGGAAGCTAAAATTTCAATAAGTGTAATGAACTGGCAAGATATTGCCACTAGGTGGAACTATTGTCAACCAGAATAGTGGTAAATTCACAGATTGATTGCCCAGGAAAAGCAAGGTGATTAAGTATTTATTTTTATTTTCCTGTCCTGTCCCTTAGGAAACACCAGATAAATTCCCATGGAACACCCAGAGAAGGTGTCATTGCCACAAGGATCTCAAAGTTCTGCTCCAAGTAGAAGAGAAAAGGGTTATTCAGCTTAAATAACAGTCTTCGTGCACTTAGTCCTCGGCTTACGACCACAGAATTTGGGAGCAGAATTTCCGTTGCTAAATAAGGCAACGTTGTTAAAAAGTGAGTTGCACCAATTTTATGACCTTTTTCTGGAACAATTGTTAAGTGAATCACTGCATTTGTTAAGTGAATCACATGGTCGTTAAGCGAATCTGGCTTCCCCACTGACTATGCTTGTCAGAAGCCAACTGGAGAGTTCGCCAACGGCAATCGCACGAAACCCGTTACACTGCAACTGCCAAGCGCCTGGATTTTAATCAGGTGGGCATCCTGCAATGGAGATCGGTGAGAGGATTGGTCGTGAGTCACTTCTTTCAGTACCATTGCAACGTTGGTCCCTAAATGAATGGTTGCAAATTGAGGACTAGCTGCATTCATTGGCTCCAAGAAAGCAATGACATAATGGCAAAGTTCATAGAAGACGCCAGGTAAGACCAGAATGGGGATTGAGAAGAGATAAAACGTGCATGATACTGCCACTGTACTTCTTGCATCAGATCTGGGACATGAGTGCATAAAAGTGGGATGTCACCAGTAGTGGAATTCAAATACCTGAACAATCAGTTCTCTTATTCGATGCAGGCCTGGGCCTCCGCGGCCTAGAATGGACTTTTGGAAGTGGCATTCATGCACTTCTGGTGAGGTGTCTAGGTCTGGGAGGCCTCCTCCAGACCTCTGAGGCCTAGGATGGACTTCTGGAAGTGGCATCCATGCATTTCCGGTGGGCCGTTCTACGCCTGGGAGGCCTCCTCCAGACCTCTGAGGCCTAGGATGGACTTCCAGAAGTGGCATCCATGTACTTCCGGTGGGCCGTTCTAGGCCTGGGAGGCCTCCTCCAGACCTCTTGAGGCCTAGGATGGACTTCCGGAAGTGGCATCCATGCACTTCCATGCAGGGAGGCATCCTGCAGGCCTCCCAGGCCTAGACTGGACTTCTGGAAGCCAGACAGTTCTATGGATGCAGCAAAATTTAGCCACCGGTTCTGCTGAATCGGTGCAAACCAGCCGAATCCCACAACTGGATGTCACGTGACATCACCATGTCAGAACAGGTCGCTAGATTCTGCGCCATAGTACTGGGGATTCGTTGGAAACAGGTGATTAATCCATCATAGCTATTTTACACAATTAAGGGTGGAAAGCCTTTTGCTCTACCATTCTCTTGCATTTTAGTACTTAGTGAATATGGGCCTCACAGTTTAAGGATTGATATTCTAGGATAGTTAGGCCATGCTGTGTTTTGTTCATGGGCAGCTGACAGATTGGATGCCCAATTGTGATTTTTAATATAAATGTAATTTTTATTTATTATTTTATTCTAGACTTTTTAACTGGATATTCCTTGAGGGTTTTTAACTAGCTCTGTCCTTTGACCGTAATAAGCATCGACTTGACTTGACATCACCATATATCACACTGTTTTTGGGTCATTGTGCTTTGCCCTTGGGATTGTTGAGAAGGAATGAAGGAAAGAAGGAACAAAAAATGTATTTTCTCCCCACCTCTGTCCCAATTAAAGTAGGGCGGATATACAAGCTAGCAGAGGTTGAATAGGGTACCCACTCCTTCTCAACTTCCACCAGTTTCTGGATACACTGCAGAAGTTCTTCTTTGTCAAATCCCTGCAAGTGGAAAGAGAAGGAGGCAACACTTAGAAACCATCTTGAGGTGGAAACACCCGAATGAGAACATCAGGTTTGGTTGGTTGTTCAAAGGCAGGGATGTTCCAGGATGTCTACCAATCTGCTATTACTGTGCAACAAGCTATAGTACTTAGACTTATATACCGCTTCTCAGTGCTTTACAGCCCTCTCTAAGCGATTTACAGGATCAACCTATGGCCCCCAACAATCTGGGTCCCCATTTTAACCACCTCGGAAGGATGGAGGGCTGAGTCAACTGTGAGACAATCAGGATTGAACTGCTGGCAGTCGGCAGAGTTAGCCTTCAATATTGCACTCCAACCACTGAGCCACCATGGCTACAGTGCTAAAGAATCTTATGGCTGTAACCACTCAATAAATAAATTGGTTTAAGTGGCTTTATCACAGTTGTGAAACAGGTTTCAAAATGATAATCACAGAAGGATGTTGTTGGGGAGTATTTTTCCTTCTGGCAATGGTGGGGAAAAAGGGGTGGTAACAGATACTACTTGAAGATAACTTCAATTATATTCTCACAGATGAAACATGAACTGAAGAATGAAGGGACCGAGGAGGACATACACACGTCCCTTCTTTCCAGCAGTCTGTTGTCTTCAGAGCTTCCTGCATTTCAGGTTAATTCCTAAGGGCAAATGCCACTCAAGACTTCCTTGGTGCTCTCTGATCTTGCTTGTTTTCTTGCAGATGTTTCATTACCTTAAGTAACATCATCAGTGCTGTTGATTTTACCTGGTTTGGGTAATGAAACATCTGCAAGAAAACAATGATAATGATGATGATGATAATTGCTTCCATCCTGCGACAATATCTGTAATACCATCAAACATCCACATCTGCCTATCCCAGGTCCTTGGTAAGGACTTGATAGGTAGACAAAAATGCCAAATCCAGTCTGAACATCTGGCTGACTGTGCGATGATCAATAATAATAATAATAATAATAATAATAATAATAATAATAATAATAATAATAATAATAATAATAATAATAATAATAATAAAGTTGGAAGGGGCCTTGGAGGTCATCTAGTCCAACCCCATGCTCAGGCAGGAAACCCTATACCATTTCAGACAAATGGCTGTCCAGTCTCTTCTTAAAAACTTCCAGTGTTGGCGCATTCACCGCTTCTGGAGGCAGGTTGTTCCACTGGTTAATTGTTCTAACTGTCAGGAAATTTCTCCTTAGTTCTAGGTTGCTTCTCTCCTTGATTAGTTTCCACCCACTGCTTCTTGTCCTGGCTTCAGGTGCTTTGGAGAATAGCTTGACTCCCTCTTCTTTGTGGCAGCCCCTGAGATATTGGAAAACAGCTATCATGTCACCCCCCTAGTCCTTCTTTTCATTCTTTTCAGCAAGCTCAGAGAGCACCAAGGACCCCTCATTTCAACCTTGAGCTACAAATATTCTTCTTTATTGGTAATCAAGACTTCCTCCAACAGTGGCCGTTTCAAAAGAAAATAATTAAACCTCTTGGAGGTAAGTGTGGAGAGCTAAGCGGGCATCAGAGTGATGGAAAGAGATGGAATGGAAAAGGGCAACGTCAATAATTGGAACACCCCATAGTCAAATCATTACTAAGAGAAACTTGAGAATAAGATAGAAGAAGAAATGCCTGATTACAAGGGAACATGAGCAACATCCTCTTATTCCGACCTACTCTAGTTCACAAACGACAACGGAGGTTTTCATTACGCACTGGCAAAGTTGCTCGCGCCGCTGACCGTAACATCCTGTCCATGTTGAGTCTCGGCCGGAACAAGCGTATTTTGCCATCCACACCTCGATATGCTTTCATGCCTTCGAACAGCTAAAGGAAGCAGAAGAGACCAGTTGGGAGTGACACTTGCCCCCACACCCCAACGCATGCACCCGTAATTAAAATAAGCAAACTGGTTAAAATAAACGTGTGTTCTTGCCAAACGTTATACAAATTAAGGCATCCATTTAAAACAAGTTAAAAACCAATGGTTTTTATTTCGCTTCAAATGACAAGTAGCCGGTGGAAAATTCCTACATTACTCCAGAGGTGCTAAATAGGAGGAGATTGTTTGGACTGCAGGGGAATATGGACTTAAACGTCTACCACTCATTAAAGCAGCTGCATCTGTTTCTGTTTCTGTCCCACTGCGTCCGTGCAAACCTGAAAGTTGTTACAGCTGCTTAAATGAGTTGTAGATAGGTGCCATTTGCTTCCTGTATATTAGCATGCATTGCTATATAAGTATTAATTGACTACCTCATTCTCTTACTTGCAGAACTATTGACCTATGACTTTATAAAGCCGCTTAGAGGATCATTCAACATCTCAGCACATGGGGCTTCCTATCCTAAACGTCCCATTTAATTTCCTATTAGGATAGTGACTGATTACTACATAGCTGTTTAACTATTCAAATGTTACTTTTAACTATTAATGGGAAATTTAAAATGAATGTGAATGTGAAGCAGATTGGTTGAGATGTAACTAAACCACGATGTCCCACTAGTGAACACACTCAAAACTTTTCAGTCCTCCTATCTAATCAATCCAGACTTTTGACAAACATTACTGACCAAGTCAGACAAAGAGGTGAAAAGATAATGGGGCCATCTTGTGAATTTCTAGACTCTACCCCATGTGGCAACTGTTTTGTGTGATCACATATCTCAACATTAAAATTGTCCCCAGGTTGAAATGAATGCCTACAGCTCAGTATGCTTAGAACTGTAACTTTTGCTTATTCAGTTAGGAAATTGCTAATGGTTTTTACACATCTCAGTATTAAAATAACAATAAAGCCTTGACCTTGAGGCAGGGGACAGGGGCTGTCAGTTTCAAATCTATCCTTGAATTCATGAGAGCCAGAAAATTAATTAATTTACTTGTTGGGTTCTTCAAGTCCTGAACAAAAAAGTATGAATATCACCTCAAGCAGCTGGATTTTCCAAGTGAAAAAAAGAATTGATGCCGCTGGTTCAAAAGGCTTTTCTGACTGATTCCTACACAGTTCTCTGGAATTCAATAGTTGCTGATTCCACAAGGCTCATAGTTGATGGAAAATGCAACAGAACTATTACTAGCTATTAGTGAAATCTGCTTCGAAGTTCGATAAGCAACAAAACATAAAATTGTTCTTCAAGAAAAAGGCATCTGTTGCAGTCCCTTGGCCTATTCCTGGGAGAATGGGAACTATTCTCAAAACTTGTGATGATAAAAACTCTGCTTTTTAGTAGACAAAGGGAACGCAATGAAAGAAGTGTTACTACTAGCAGCACTGTTGCAGAAGGCTGAGGCCCTCACCACTGCAAGGCTACTTCAGATAATACTACTATAGTCCCTTTTCCCAAAGATTTTGCTTTGGATACCAGACTGCTTAGCTACTGTAGCTAGAGTTCCACCAACTTTCAATAAATACTAAAAGAACAGGGATCCCTTTGACTAAAGCAGAGTTTGTACTTAAGACCTTACTCAATTGCA